TGCATAACACTCATGGCGTTATACCGGTGACGTCCGTCACCCTATTAACAAACGCAGAATCATGTTATGCACTTGAAAAACCTCAATAACCCTCTAAAGACAACTCTAAACACTCCCAAACAGTCCTGAATCATTACCATATGATTACCACACATTAGCATGTTATTTCCTATTGATCTAGCATGTTATTCCATCAATTTAACCACTAAAGCAGAATTTATTCATGCTTTAAAAATCCCAATTTCATGTCAAAACTCAAGTTTATGAACAAGTAGCATATGAAACAATCACCACAAATACAATGCCCAATTTTGCAAGTAAATCATGGCGTAACAACGTGATTTCAATCATATGATTCTTCAAACAACACAATTAACAAAAGAGAGTAAAACTATATTGGAGGTTAAGCGAAACCTTTCTACCCTTTCAGGAATTAAGCTCTCATACATGAAGACCCCCTACCTTGTAATTCCAACAAAACTGAGCAAGGCTTGTGTCTAGTGGTCTCCTCTATCAAGTCCTAACTCTTCCTTTCCAAGCTCTTCTCTCCAATTCACTTGTTTTTCATGTATCGATAGAAAGTACTCTAAAAATCTAAGTTTTATCTACCTTTTAGAATATATATACTATTTTATTTAATTTCTCTAAATTACACTTTTTTCCCAACTAAATTTCAGTCCTCCTTCGCTCACCACTAAACTCTCTTAATTCACAAAATTGGCTCAATCATTCATATTCTTTCCAATTTCTGATTAATTAATTAATTAATTCCGACTAACTACTTAATTAACACAAAACACCTCAAATATTGTCACCGACAAGACATGTCATATATCACAAAAATAATTATTAAAATGATTTCCCCAATTAAATTAAACAAGTAATTAGATAATAAAATAATTAAATCGGGGTGTTACATCGAACATCAAAAGTACCATTCTCATTAGGTAACACACGGGCAGAGAAAAATGGTGAGGTTTCAAAGAATGTGATGTCGAGGAAACAATGTATTGTTGATGTTGGGGACAAAAACAACAATATTCTTTTTGTATACGTGAGTAGCCTAGGAAAATATATTAGAATTAGTAGTTCTCTCATTACTCCTAGATACCCTTAAATATTAGAGTTTATCGTTAATGGAGCCATCCTCATGTTCGACATTCCTCATGCATTACAAGTACATTTCAAACGATTCTCTAATGTTCGAGGGATCTATCACCCTACCGCTCTTGTCTAAATCCCTAATAATCACCAGTAAAGAGGAAAAGAGAAGGAAGACTAGAATACCTATACCTGCAAAGTAGAGGATTGAGTGTTAAACTTTGTAAAACGGTGAAGTAAATGTTCTTTGTGTTTGAGGAACTCTAAGGAAGTTTTACGAAAGCTCCAGAGAAGAAGATATGTGAAAACATGAATTCTTAGGGTTGAACCTCTTTTATAAGGATTTGAAAGCTATCCTTATGGATAATTAATAACTCCGCACTAGGTTCCCCAACATTTGAAAAAGATTTCCCATGTCTTTAACACGTGTGAAGGATTAAGACATATTTGGCTTCCCAAGTAAAAATAATCATTAATCACATTTAATGATGTGTGCGTATTCACCTCAACTGACGTTTAAAGATTCACCTCAACTGACATTTGAGGGTCACCTCGATTCACATATGGTGATTTACCCTAAGCCATTCTTGAGGGACTCACGTTAATCCATGCTTGAGTGACTCATCCAAAAGTGATGGAAGGAGGCGATCAAACTAAATCACTTTGTTATTTTCAATCCCTCGTCCTTTAGGCACTGTGTACCACTATAATTGTAAATGGCGCAGATGGGGCAATACAGAGTTCATTAAGGACATGTGATACAATAACTCACATTAATTGAATTAATTTCCCATTGGGTGTCACACTCGCTTATTGGTCTCATCACTCTCCCACTGTTAGCCTTAGTTAAAACCACTTATTGCACACTGGTGATTGATGTGTCATTGGTCATTAATAGCAGTGATTTAAAAACCGGACCGAATCGGGAACCGGGACACTAGCCGGCCTGGTTCAATTGGCGGATCGACCTCGCCATTGAACCGGTGCGAACCGGGAAAATCGGAAAAACTGGCAGTTTTGCTAAACCGGCGGTTTAATTGTTTTTTTTAATATACTTAGTAGTGTATTACTTAAATAGCATTCTCACATAAAAAAATTTCGTTAGTGACAAATTACAGACTTTATTGGTATTTGTTATTTTTGCTAATACATTTTCCTAAATAGTTTGTAACTTTGTGGTTAATAACAAATTAGTTACCTTATTATTTTAACTTTTTAGATTGTTATATATTTTATCTTTTTATATTTTTTCACTGCTAATAATTTTAATTAATTATAATTTATAATTAATTATATTTAGTGTCAAAATATTAACAATAGAAAAAGGCATGTATTTTGTTGAAAGGGAAATTGAAATAGCATAAACATATTGAACTTTATTTGGTTTTCTTTTTAGGAGAATCATGTTTTACTTACAAATAGTTACCTCTTATTTCGTAATAATCAATAAATGATATCATTGATGGAGAAGCTGTTGCAATTAGACTTTGCTTGCAATTAGATTTTATAATTTTGTATTATTTTGTTATGTGTGATATATTAGTTTAAAATTTGAATTTAAATTATGAACTTGTGAATTTATGATATGATATTTTCAAAAAATTTAAGTACTAGTTATATTTTTTTAGAAACTAAATCATCCGGTTCGATCGGTTTTATATCTATATAATGACAGGTCTATTCAATCGAGTTATCTGATTTAATCCGGTTTATTCACGCGATTCGACCAATGACCCAGTGGTTCGACCGATAAACCAGTGACCCAATACCCTCACCAGTTCGATGATCGGTCCAGTTTTTAAAACACTGATTAATAGTATGGAAGCTCTTTAAAAGGGCAAAGCCATGTTCTCATGAAGAATATGGGGAGTTAAAATTTTGACACTCATAAGAGAGGCATAATAACCACCCCATAAGTCCAATAATACATGCCCATTAAACCTCTATAAATACGTCAACAATGGAGTTGAGGGAAAAAAATTCAATTCACTTATAAACTACATTGATACAAAGTTTCTCACTATCCCTATGTGATTTTACTCTAACATCAACAATAATCCTAAATCCTAAGGAAACCTTATATAATTAGGGGTTGTTACTAATTGTGCTTTTAACGAGTACAATTATTGGTAAAATTACATAAGTGATAAGTTATAATGATATTTAAAAACAAATGACATAAATGTCTCACCAATGATTGTAAATATTTCATATTTAATCATTGCAATCATATGATGCCACATGAAATCAATAGATCTTACACTATTAGTATCTATGAAATACTCTCTTCGTCCCATAATGAGTCACCCAGTTGATCGTTTCATACATATTAAGAAAAGTGAATAATTGAAAGACAGCAAATGATATTTTTACTAAATAACACTTATCATGTATTGAGAATGATAAAAGTAATATTAATTAGTGAGTAAAATTGAAAAAGATGCATTGGAAATTGAAATTGGTCATTCATTTTGGGACAATCTTATATTCTAAATGGATCACTCATTGTGGAATGAAGGGAGTAAAAAACAATCTCATCATTACTTCATCTAAAGGAATAAATGAGGACACATGTCGCAACTAGGGGTGGCAAAATGGACGGATTGGATTGTTAATGGATGGATTAAAACAATCCATTAGTCCATTAACAATCCACTACATTTTTTTTTTAAAATTATCCAATCCAATTCATCCATTAACATATTTTTAATTGATGAATAACCATCCATCCAAGTTTTTTTTTTATTTTGAAAAAATAAATGTATTTTTTATATATTTAAAAATCAATTTTATTTTATTTTCGAAAAATTCATTTTTTGTATTTTAAAAAAATTGTTTTTTAATATATTCAGGAAAAAAATTAAATTTTTTGTATTTTCAAGAAAAAAATTTGATATTTTAATTTTTGAAAAAATATCGATTTTTTTTCAAGAAATTTTTTTTTTTATTATAAAAAAAAATTAGTTTTTTGCTTCGGAAAGAAATCGTTTTTTTACAAAATAAATTGTTTTTTTTTTTCGAAAAAAAAACCGTTTTCTTAAAAAGTCTGTTTTTTTTCGGAAAAAAATCGGGTTTTTTACGGAAAAAAAATGATTTTTTTTTTGAAAAAAAAGACCGATTTTTTTTCGAAAAAAAGACCAAATTTTTTTTATAAAAAATCGTCTTTTTTTAAAAAAAATAATCGTTTTTTTTTGGAAAAATTCCGATTTTTTTATTTGAAAAAAAATCAATTCTTTTCTTTTAAAAAACATATTTTTAATTATTTTTAAAAAAATAAAACTAACAAAAATAAAGATAATCCATTGGATCCTTAAAATATGTTGGATGGATCGAATACATCCATGCATATAAATGGATGTATTTAATCCAATCCATCAATTTATTTTTTATGCGGTGGATGGATTAGATGGACATTTTAATGGATGGATTAGATGTATTATGCCTTAATGGATCCAATTGCCACCTCTAGTCGCAACACATATCACATCTGAGTTATTGGTTGAAGAAAACAAAATGCTACTTTTGTACTTCCTCTGTCTCATAAAAAAATATCTTATTTGAGCTCTGCGCGGTTCTTAAGAAAATAATTAGGTGTATTAATTTTAATGATGAAATTAATAAGTTTTATTAAAATATCCTTATTTATTATAGTTAGCGGAGTAGTTGAAAAGTGTGAAAGTTAATAAATAGGGGTATAGTAATGAAAAAAAATAAATAAATATTGTATTGAGATTCTAAAGAGACGTTTATTTTGAGACATAGAAAAAGTGCAAATGAGACACTTTTTATGAGACTGAGAGAGTATACAAGAATGGCACAACTTTTGAGACCTAGTAGATACTCCTATTGAGGTGAATGTTAAATAACATCGAGATGATAGTAATCTCTTACCTTATCTCTTAATGCATCAACTCATTAAAACATCCACATCCATGCCACTTAGGATAAATTCCATCTAATAGAAAATAACCCATGTTATATTCAGTATCATTAACTGAATAATGAGCCTCAAGAGCTCTCCCTTGCATAACATCGTTAAAGACATCAAATTGGTTAAATGCATTGGTATTATTATTTGAACTAGCTACCCCAAAGAAGGCATGTGAGATCCATAAGTCTTGTGAAGCGATTGCTTCAAGCATAACGGTAGGCTTACCATGATCACCTCGAACATACTGCCCTTTCAAAGCAACAGGGCAGTTTTTCTATTCCCAATGCATACAATCAATCTCCCTAACATACATGGGAAGCCACATGCCTCTCCCATTTGCAGCAGGCACTCAATGTCTTCAAAAGTTTGCTTTTGCAGATATTGTGGCACAAATACACTAATAACACCTCTTGTAAACTTATCAACACATTTTAGTATTGTGGTTTCACCAATTCTCAAATAGTCATCTACACTATTAGTGATGCTCCATATGCCAACATACGAATATTTGCAGTGCATTTTTGTAGTGGTAAAAGACTTGATCTACCAGTTGCGTCAACCTTAAGCCGAAAATACTCATCATGTTGACCAAAAGCTTCAATAATACGGAGGAATAAATGTTTATGCATTCAACATCTTCAACGAAACTTCTCAACTGTGTACACGTATGCTTCTGAAAAATAATCATTGAATAAAAGCTCATGTCCTTCTTCACGGCTCCTCTCTATATTCCTTCTTCGGCTTCTGGGCCTACTAGAACTCGTAACTTCTTCTTGCACTTCACTTTTAAAGTAAAGTCTCACAAGTTCTTCATCCATGTCATCATTCATATAATCCATAAACATTTTATAATGTAAGAAGGATTTGAAGGATCCAGGTGAAAAGAATTCTAATATTGAACTAAAAAGAAGATAAATTAGAAAAGAGTGTAAAGCTTATTACTCATTTATGTATGTATATATAAACAAAAATATAACCGTTATAAAATAGAGACGCTTAAATTTACTGTTAATATATAAATATTACCGTTACATTTTTAATATTATTTTCCTTTTAATTTTAATTTTTATTAAAAATATTTCACCTGTTACATAAAACTACAGTGCAGTGCAGGGCACCTCCTACACAAATTTGCATCTATTTAGACAGTATATATTCATAAAATTCTGACACAATAATGTTGAAACTTGTGTGGAACCCACCGATGTGGGTGGTGGTGTCTTATTAGCAATTCCAATACCACATGTGTCAGAAAATATTATTTAAATTTAATTGGACCAAATTTCTAAACCATTGTTACTGTAGTAAACCACTGTAGCAATAAATAATTTTTTTTATAAAACTAATACTATTTCACTTTTTACATACAAAAACATAAAAATATGAAGTATATTGTGAGACTAATTGGGGGAATTTTTTTTTAATATTACATGTTTTTTCAAAAAAAATTATCAAAAAAATTAATATTTAAAAAAAAAATATCAGGCCATGTTTGGTAGAGGAGTCGCCATATAAAATGGCTGATCAAGGTCTTTAGACTTGATATGCCATTTCATATGGCGCATGGGCTTTAAATTTGTATGCTCTATCCTACACTGAGTCGCCATATGAGATTGCGCATCAGTTGTAGGTTTTTTTTATTTATATTAAATTTTTGTTTATATTTTATCATATTTAATTAATATTTAATATTTAATATTTAGTTTTTGTCACATATAGTTAAAAAAATAATAAAATTTTTTATTTTTAATATTTTATAAAAAAAATATAAATAAAAGAAATGATAAATTATAATATTTATAATATGAAAAAACTTCAATATTGTACAACAGATGAAAAAAAAGAAAATCAATGGTCGACTCAATCAAAACAACCACCGGTACCACATTGGGGAAGATTCGCGCATTGTCGAGGTCTACCACGATGATTTTGAAGCATTTGACCCCAATAGTCGGGCTGGCCGCTGCCAACGGCGCTTCCGTAATTAAGTTCAATTCCCATGTTTTCGTAGTTTTATTGGGGAGGTTAGGTGTGGTGTGGACGGTATGGTTGTCCGAATTGGTACATCGAATCGGTTTGGAAATGATGTAATGGTTGTTGTGGGGTTTGGTAGTCAAAAAGTGGATAGGTATTTTGTTGGTAGGAAGATTGATTGTCTGATGTGGTGATCAAAAGACTTATCTGGGCTATAGGTGGATGAGGTAGGGTCAAAATATGTATCAAGGCTATATGCAGAAGTGGTGTTGGTTTCAGAAGGCTGATGGTAGGGGTAAGGTTCTTGTTGTTGTGATTGGGTTGGTGGCATGTATGGGTTGCAGTTTTGGAAGATTGATTGGATGGGCATAGTTGGATGTTAGGTATAACATGGTGTTTGATGTTGGGCATTGGGTTGCTGTTGTGGGTTCGAGGAAGACGTACGTTGCCTTGGGTCAATCAAATATGTCGGCTCAAACAAAAATTGTTGTGAGGTTGTAACCGACCTAAACCAAATCATATATTGATAACATGGTCTAGCCCCTTCCACAATAGGGTCGGTTAAGATGTGTTGATGTCGGTTCTTCCAATGCAGACACATTTCTTTTGCAAAGTCCTTCCAATGATTTACACTCCATTGCATATCCACCCTTAGCTGATGCCAGTGTCTCAATGACGTTGGAGCATCTGGAATATCTTGATGCATACCAAATTGTAGTTTCACCCGGTCACTTTGGTGCATTTCCACTGTAGTGAACCGAATGATAGGTGTTTTAGATGTCCACGCGGCAACATCATTGGTGTTGGGATGGTGGTCGAGACCCTCGTACGACACCCATACAAACTACATTAACAATATATGTAATGAGAAATACAAGTATGTATTTATCAGTTAGACAAAGTAATGGTAGATAAATTACACCATCTGGCTCAATGTGTTCAATAAGGTTACGGTACACGATTATGGAGTTCCTGGGACATCTTTGGTAACTCATTCCCAGAACAAACCACCTAAAAAAAGAAACACAAATAAATTAGTTACTAAGAAACATTGCACAAATAATTAAGTTACAAAGAAACATTGTTTGTAGGCACGCGTAGTTTAGTCTTGTCGTATAGAGAACCTTCTAGGCACACAAAGTGTAGTCTTGTGGGCACGCAGAGACATGTGATGGGTGCATATTTAATAATAAGAAAACAACACTTTATTGCTATTAATAAAATAGAGATGTTTGATTTATTATCATATTAATTAGTAAAAAAATCATTTCAAACACGAGTTTACTAACATTTTAGTTATGGCTCAAACACCACAATACATGATCAGTGCGCATTTAAATAGTGAGGTTTTTGAATGTAACTCAGCCGGTTTCAATTTTCGAAATACTGATGTTACTAGATTTTTTATTGACAGAAGTTCAAATTTTTTACACTTTAAATCGAGATTAGAAAAGAAATTACAGTGTGGTTGATCGCGACTTTGTGAGTCTAATGGAACTAACTACAAGTGCACAGTCTATCGCGTAGTAGTAAAAATATCGTTCCCACAGGGACTCGTAATCAACCTAATGCTATCGGGTGTTACTATGTTTAGCTAAGGCGGAAAATGTTTTTTTTGGAAGTAAATGCCAAAGTAAAGGCTAGTAAAGAAAAATTATAAGTTTTTAAAACAAATATTAATGAAAGATATCGGTATGTAATGCTTCTAGTTTTCGGGGATTCGACAGGTCGCCAGTGCTTTTCAGTTTTTGCTAATGGTTTTCAGGAGAAAATATTCGTTTAAATACTTTCGTCTCATGATGGTTGTTGACTCGGGTCATAATTCTAAGGCGGAATGTACGCTCTCGCAGTCCCATTCGGGGTTAAAATCACTTTTTAAAAACAAGTAGATTCTGATTTCTTTTAAAGTGCTTTCGCTATGTTTAAAATAAATGCCTAGTTTTTACTATCCGGTCCAAACCACATGCTTTCACGTGCCGGCTCGTACCTTAATAAATCCCCCACTCTCGTGGCAAAATCGTTTAAATAATTTCTCACTCTCGTGACGAAGGTTTATTTAGAAAATTAAATTAAAAACTAAGGCCAGAAAATTGTTTGTAAAAAGGGTGATGGCACCGGATGTTATCGAATCCCGTCCTACTAGTCCTATCACATACCGATAATGACAATTTAGCTAGACATGGAATTTAATGCAGATGTAAATAAATAATAGCAGTAAAGTAACATAACATGCATTTTAACAGAAAATAAAGTAATAATTCTATTAATAAAAACCTGCAAATTGTACTGATCTTGAATCCTTGAGTAGTCCTCCACAATGTCGACAGGATTCTACTTTGGCAGAAAATAAAGGTACAAAATGATTTGAAATAAAGGAAAGAAAAAGAACAATGGAAAAGAAATAATGCGGGAATGTAAAAATCAGCTTCAGTAGAATTTTTGGCAGCACTTCGTTACGTCCAATGCAGCTCCCCTTCTTTGGTCCAACTCTTCTCTTTTTATAGCTGAGGCTTCATGAGAAAATGTCGGGAGAAAAGGAGTTGAGGGGGAGAAATCTCAGGTAGTAGTTCCTGTATTTTCTCTGCTGTGTGGGCACGTTCAATTTTTGCATGGTATTCTGTTATTTGATGCATGGCGACCGTGATGAAGCTGTGACGGACGTGGTGAACGTGACGAGCATGATGGAGCTATCACGACCGTGATGATCGTGACAAGCGTGATGGTGCTGTGACGAGCGTCACACTCACAAAGTCTTGTTTTTCTGCTACTTGTTGGTTTTTCCTCCATTTTATTGCTTCTTCTAGTGTGCTTTCTACGTCTTGCTTACTTTGAGCATGAACGTGATATACCTGCAAAAACACTTAACAAACTCGCAGAATAATTCTAATTTAGGGTGAAACCATACAGTTAATAGATGAAAAACATGCATTTATAGTGTACATTTTCACGTTATCAGTGGTCAAGTTGGCCAAATGATCTACAAGAATCCTGTGTTTTTTGGCGGGCACGAGCAATGCAAAATTTTCCAATTAAAGATTCGAGATGATGAAGATGTGTGTAACATGTTCCGCAGTCATGAGTATTCCAATTTCTCACATATTGAGCTATATGTTACGTTACAATAACAACAACTGTCTCAACTACTTGATTCTTCTCAAGTTTTTTACGAATCTGACGAGGAACACGCTGAATTCGATGCCATTTAATGAAGAAGAAGCAGCTGAAGTCGTTGTTGATGACATGGTAAACAACGAGGAAGAGGGAGTTCCACCCAGTCATATTTATTGCCCACCTCAACATATGACAAGTCTCTACTTAGGTGACGATGAACCCTCAACAGATATTTTTTACAACCTAAACTACGCAAAAGAAGGACTGTTAAAAGAGAGCGACAACTTTTGTACAAAAGAAGATTGTGTCTGAACAATTAAACAATATCACATGGACTTATTAGAAGATTATAGAGTCTATCGAACAAATCCAACTCTGTATAAGATCTATTGCCATAACAAGGTGTGTCCATTTCTATTAACAGTGTCTTTCCG